GCAGCTGATTCACTAGTGACTCTGTAAATATAGATATTTTCTTCTCAATATATATCTATATATTCTATCCATAGAATGTCTATATAGCATATATATATTTACTTTTGGTGATTTTTTTTTAAACATTCAGATATATTCACTTGACCCTGTTAGCTATTTTTTCTTTATATGAAACAAACAGACATGTGGTAACAGAGCAACGTATGTGATGAAAACCAAACCAAGAACCAGGACATTAAAGGGATAGTTAGGATTTTAAGAAGTGAGGTTCTATGAAGTTCTTCCTCAGAGTTGCTTTTTCTATCAGAATCTCCAGACATGTATATTTGCTGATTTCAAACGTCAAACGTCTTGGTTAGCATGAAAGGTTGCATTGCCTGAGTGTGGCTACATCAGCCTGCCAGATCAGCTGATCATCAATCCACTGGGATCATCTACAAACAGCTAAGAGAGCCGCAAAAGAACATCCCTGTTCTTTTGCGGGTTCAATACTGTTGCCTGGTACAATATCTGACCCTAGAATCCTCTCTTGTCTGCCTTGGCGTGGACGGACAACTCAGAGCCAATAGGCTCCGCCTACTTAACCTTGTGTAGTAATCTATCTAATAATTGGATAGGAAAACAACAGACTTAAAAATGGTCTGTTTAGGAATAGCAGACATTTATTATCAGCTGTATTTTGCAAGTAACACCAAATTAGCTGCTGCTAAAGGATGGGTTGGCAGTCCGTATTACTGCATACAGACATTCGAGAAAGGCCGTAATACACTTTGTTTCCAATAGAAAAAACAAAAATGAATATATTTTGCCGTTTGGCTAGGTTTCAGCTACTGGAACCACCATGTTGTGATGTGGAGGTTTAATAAGCACCCCATCAGTCTTTCAAGGTAGAACATTACGCTAGCTACAACCTCAGTCTTTTCAGGGAAGAACATTACGCTAGCTACAACCTCAGTCCTTTCAGGGCTGAACATTACGCTAGTTAAAACCTCAGACCTTTCGGGGCAGGACATTACGCTAGTTACAACCTCAGTCCTTTCAGGGCTGAACATTACGCTAGTTACAACCTCAGTCCTTTCAAGGCAGAACATTACGCTAGTTAAAACCTCAACCCTTTCAAGGCAGAACATTACGCTAGTTACAACCTCAATCCTTTCAAGGCAGAACATTACGTTAGTTACAACCTCAATCCTTTCAAGGCAGAACATTACGTTAGTTACAACCTCAATCCTTTCAAGGCAGAACATTACGTTAGTTACAACCTCAATCCTTTCAAGGCTGAACATTACGCTAGTTACAACCTCAACCCTTTCAAGGCAGAACATTACGCTAGTTACAACCTCAACCCTTTCAAGGCAGAACATTACGTTAGTTACAACCTCAATCCTTTCAAGGAAGAACATTACGCTAGTTACAACCTCAATCCTTTCAAGGAAGAACATTACGCTAGTTACAACACAATCCTATCAGGAAAGAACATTACACTAGTTACAACCTCAATCCTTTCAAGGCAGAACATTACGTTAGTTACAACCTCAATCCTTTCAAGGAAGAACATTACGCTAGTTACAACCTCAATCCTTTCAAGGAAGAACATTACGCTAGTTACAACCTCAATCCTTTCAAGGAAGAACATTACGCTAGTTACAACCTCAACCCTTTCAAGGCAGAACATTACGTTAGTTACAACCTCAACCCTTTCAAGGAAGAACATTATGCTAGTTACAACCTCAATCCTTTCAAGGAAGAACATTACGCTAGTTACAACACCATCCTATCAAGGAAGAACATTACGCTAGTTACAACCTCAATCCTATCAAGGCAGAACATTAGGCTAGTTACAACCTCAATCCTTTCTAGGTAGAACATTACGCTAGTTACAACCTCAATCCTTTCAAGGCAGAACTTTACGTTAGTTACAACCTCAGTCCTTTCAAGGCAGAACATTACGCTAGCTCGAACCTCAGTCCTTTCAAGGCATAACATTACGCTAGCTACAACCTCGGTCCTTTAAAGGCAGAACATTACGCTAGATACAACCTCAATCCTTTCAAGGCAGAACATTACACTAGTTACAACCTCAGCCCTTTTAAGGCAGAATATTACGCCAGTTACAACCTCAATACTTTTAAGGCAGAACATTAGGCTAGTTACAACCTCAGTCCTTTCAAGGAGGAACATTACGCTAGCTACAACCTCAATCCTTTCAAGGCAGAACATCACGCTAGTTACAACCTCAGTCCTTTCAAGGAGGAACATTACGCTAGCTACAACCTCAATCCTTTCAAGGCAGAATATTATGCTAGTTACAACCTCAATCCTTTCAAGGCAGAACATTACAGTAACCACAAGCTCAGTCCTTTGAAAATATAACATTTTGCTAGCTAGACGAATATTATGCTAGCTACAAACCAGGCCCTTTTAAAGATAGAACAGTATGCTAGCAGCATTTAATTAATCAGCCAATTTTAGTTTATTCTATTCTTAAATCTTCCGCTTTCTAACAACTTAATAGAACAAATTAAAAGTAAAGGCTTATTTTATTCTACATTGGTGCTAGGTCTTAGCAACCAAACCAACAACCAAGACAACATGGACGCCCTTTTCTCACTCAAATAATCAGTATTTAATTTCTTTAGTGGCTCTGTTTTAAATCAAACAATCAACACCACATCTTCCTGCAACTGGCAAAGGAAGCATTTCAGATAACTTCGGAAAGCTCACTTCATTAAATCCCATCCACCCCTGTAAAAATAATAAAAATGATGATGATGAAAAAAAAAAAAAACTCCATCCCTCCAAATTCATTGAAGCAAACATAAATGTTTCAGTGCTGGTTCTGTAATCACCAACCACAAGCATAAATATTCTCTGTAGTAATCTAAAGTACAAAATAGCATATTTTTCTGGATTTAACAACAGTTTCTATTAACTCTACTCAGTCTGGGTGCACGAAACTCCACAGGTGCATACATGAGCTGGCGACAATAGGTAGGCAATCCATTGCGTATTTACTAAACAGTACTCACTTCTACTATCACTATTTTGAATAGACCCTGGCATATCACAGAATACACACACACACACACACACACACACAGGCTTTAATCGACAAGTCAAAAACTCTGAAATACGCCTACAGGGAGTCATACTGATAATTAGCCACATTACGTAGAAACACTTTCAGTTTTTCTTTTTAGGTTTTTTTCCAAAAAGGCCACGAGGACGTCACTTGGTGCTTGCTGTAAAATTATTCCTTTATGGGTCTCCATAGATATTAACCCTTAGACCGCCAGTCTGACCCAAATGAAAGATTTTGTTTCTTTTTTTGTTGCTTGGTCAGAAATATTACCTCAGCCGATTGTACAAACAGTATTTTTTTTTCTCCATCTTTGATGATCTAACGTCAAGAAATGGATAAAAACATCAGCCAGCGTAATAGTAGACGGTATCCCACCTTCGTGTAATTTAAGCGATTTATCTAACCATGCAGATGCTTTAACACACTGTACGTTGTGCTCAATGCTTTTCAAAATGACATCATTTATAAAAAAGGGGGAAAAATGGCCTTAAAGTTCTTGATGAGGCATCAGAATGTTAACAAATCTAGTCCTTTAGCTGAAAGATAAAACAAAAACAGGTTTTTTTGGATTACTCCAAAGAGGGGGAACTCAAGCTTAAAAATAAATAAAATTTGCACGCTTAGATGGATTAAAGTATGGAGTGAATTTTACTATTGTTTTATTTTATTATTATTTTACTAATGTTATTTATTATTGTTCTAGTAAACATGTTTTGTAAATGGAAATTTGAAAAAACAAACAAAAAAAACAATCCAGAAATAATAATTTGAAAACTCCTTATTAGAGAAGGTTTTTAAGAGAAAGTTCTGAGTTTTATCAGATTTTTTCGGGTTTTTTTTTCCCCAAATTAAATTTCTTACAAAAAGTTTTTTATTCACTTTTTGTTTTCCAAGTTATTTATTTCCATTTTCCTATTTTCAGTGTTACAGATTGCATTTTATTCCAATTACATTTTGCTAATCACTTTTTCTTCACATTAAGCCTAGAAGTACGGAAGAGGATTAGGGCCAGTGGGGGAAAAAAAAAAAAAGTTAACTGATTTTTAAATTTTGTTTCAGTTTAGTATCGGAAAAAAGTCAAAATTCTGAGAAAAAAGTCAGAATTCTGACTTTTTTATTGTCAGAATTCAGTCAGAATTTTGAGATTAAAGTCAGAATTCTGCGAAAAAAGTCTAACTTTTTAAAAATCAGTTAACTTTTTTTTTTCCCCCCCCACTGGCCCTAATCCTCTTCCGTATAGAAGAGACGTTCAATCTGGACACGAAAATTTACAAATAAATATGTTGCCGCTAAAACCTAAACAGACCAATAGAGATGCGTCTTTTCCAAAGGGGAAGAGAACAGTATGTTAAAGGCAAAAAATTAAATTAGTAAAAAATCTATCTGAAAATGAGAACTTATTTCTAATTAAATTAGAAAAAATTAAATTTGAGAAAAAAAATGGGGAAATAAACCATCAAAATTTCTCTGAAAACCTTTCGTTATTAAGACGGTTTTAAAAGTCTCATTATTGGATTGCATTTCGCTTTTTAAATTTTCAGGTACAAAACATGTTCCTTGCTCCCAATAACAATGGGAAAAAAATCACTTCTTATTAAAGGGGGATCAAAATAAGAACCTTGATAACTTAACAGTTGTGTCAGATTAAATATTAACCACAGTACAGTTTAAATAAAAGGTAGAAAAAATACTTTAACAGGATATTAAATACCTGTTGAAACAGAACAGTGCAATCAGGAAAAAAAAAAAAGTTAAAACATAATGCTTACAAAACCACATTTTGTACTTTAGAGAGAGAATCTCTGCTGACTTGGAACATCAGGCTTCACTTTTGACTTGACGCCATTATTCTTGTAACTTCTCACGCTATACGTCTAGCGGCGTGAAAGATGAAGCCAGTGTCCAAAAGACATTAGAGAATCTCTCCTTCCCTGTGCTGCTGATTGTTAGGACTGAGTGAGGATGAGGAGACGCTACAGTAAAGGCCTTCGCCCTTTTCGCCTGCTTAATGTGGACTTGGAGCAGGAGTGTCTAGATCCCTGTCCACCTCCGCCTCCTCTAGTCCGGAGTAGGAGCTCAAGGCATCCCACAGGAGGGCAGGTTGCTCACAGTGATGGTGACTCCTCCAGTGCTCGATAATTAGCTCCTTAGTGTCCAGCACCTTGCTGCAAAGCACGCAGTTGAAGGCCTCCCCGGCTGCCAGAACTCCCAAGTCGCTGTCGTTTTCAGGGGAGGACGACCTGGTTTCGCCGCCTGCCTCCCAGTCCCTGACTCGGTGATGGGACATAATGTGCTTCTTGAGTTTGGAGAAAGAAAAAAACTCCTCGTCGCAGCTGCCGCACTTGACCAAGTTTCGCTTCTGGTTGAGCTGGCGCCAATAGTGGGCGGCGTGCTTCACCAGCTCGTTCTCGACCTCCCGCCCGACGGATTGGGCCTTCCCGTCGGGAGCGCGGACGTGGACCTCCTCCCCATGCACGTACAGCAGATGCATCTTCATGTCGGCAAAAGTGGGAGTCTCGGCTTGACAGCGGCCGCATTTTATCTGCAGCTCCACAGGTTCTTCCCGATCCTGTTCGTCTGACGGCTCAGGCGAGATCAGACTGTGAGAAAAAACATAAAAATGCTTATTGAGGCAATCAATCAGCTTCAAGCTAAAGGTCAAAAGGCTCTGTACGATTAATCTCACCCTTCCAAAGACATGTCTTCTTCATGACGACTGATTGATGGCTCTACGGTCAGCACCACTTTGTGGACCTCCCTCAGATGACGGAAGTACACGCCCACATATCCGAAGACCTTATCGCAGAACTCGCAGTGGAGCGATCGGCGCGGCCGTACCTCTGAGTGATGCAGTTTCATGTGGGTGCTGAGGCTGCCTCTGTGGGCGTACGCTTTGCGGCAGAGGGGGCAGATGTAGGGCCGACTGTTGGAGTGGGTGTTCATGTGGTTCTGCAGGTGATGCTTAAACTGGAAACAGCGGCTACAGATGGCGCAGCGGTGGATCGGGCGGCTTCCGATAAACACTTTTGGGTTAGAGCCGGCTCTGAGGTGAAGGGTCACCGGAGCGGGTTGGGGGGAACAGTCCAGCGCCTTAGTTGGGGCAGCAGTGGCCAGTTGGTGACCGAGTAAGAGTTCCTGTTCTTGGCCGTCTGGTGTTACTGGAGGCAAACTCACCAGTTGAGGAACAGTCTCCATAACCAAAATGGGCTTGGGTCGGATACTTCGGTACTTCTTGGAAATATCAACTTCCTTCTGTTTGAAGCCTGGAATGACCGCTGGAGGTTTTTCGGGAAGCCTTCTCCGGAAAAAGGACAAAGACCTCTTCTTTCTGGCTTCAAAGGCTAAGATATCTTCTATCGTCTTTCTCTTCCTCCCTCTCTTCTTGCCAGGGGGTTTCTGGAGGGTAACGGGAACAAGTGAGGGTTTGGTCTGAATAGAGTTTGGCACCGGGTTTGGCCTCAAGACTTCCGGATTCTCCATGTTCTTGTTCACACTGTCCACAGAAGAGGAGACTCCTGCCTGCCCACAGAAGCCTTTTCTATCCTGGGACAAACCCGTGATCTTTGTAGCTGGGATCAGGGAGCTCCTCATTTTAGAATAAGGCAGAATGGGTAGTTTCCCCTTAGGCGGAGAAGGGATAATCTGGACTGCTTTGCTGAAGATAGCTGGTGACAGGACAGTGATACTACTCTGAGGCTGAGCAGGAGTTGGTTTGGATTGGCACAGCCCCAATGTAGGTTTAGTTTCCTCAGGGGCTTTACCTGTGGAGGTTGAGGCAGTTGCTGAATGGTACTGGAGGTTCTGAATAAGGCTAGCCGAAGCAGGTTGCTCATTGCTATCTGTCGTTTGCTCCAACTTTGGACAGAGAAGAGCGTTTTCTGGTAACAGTGCAGAGACGGAGACATCAGAGGTGGCAGAGTCGATCAGAAACACCTTTTCTGGAGGTTCCTTTGTGGTTTCCTTCGTCTCCTCTAGCTTTAGCCTTGGCCCTGCACATGTTCCACTCCCCACCGACTTGGTCTGAGCAAGTATAGGAAAACTGGAGGCAGCTTTTGTATTGGCAGCGACCGGTGATTTCACTTTCTCTGAGGTTTTTTTGTTTCTCGCCGACTGGTATCTGGGAATGGGTAACTTGAGGGTTTTCTGGGTTTGTTGCTGTGGAGTCTGAGAGGAGACAGAAGGGGGGAGTGCGACCAGAGAGAACGTTCCATCTTGGCCTGCTATTTGCATCAGTGCATAGTTTTGAGTGGGTACCAGGATGGACTTGGGGCTAGAGGCGGTGGTGGCCTCGGGTAGAGCAGACAACGGTTGGCAGCACGGGGCCAGAGGGGAGGGTGAAGGCACCACAGCTTGGGCCTTAGGAGCAATGCTCCGGAACTGGAGGCTCTTCATCTGATGGGCTGGATCACTTCAACCAACTGAAACATGTAAAACAAGCAGAAAAGATTCACATCAGGGATGTAACGAACAGCAACAAATGGTAAATGGCATGTACTCATATAGCGCCTTATTTCAAGTCAGGTAACTTGACCAAAGCGCTTTACACTACATTCATTCACCCATTCACGCACACACTGATGGTGGCAAGCTAGATTGTAACCACAGCTGCCCTGTGGCTCACTGACAGAAGTGGGGCTGCCGTACACTGGCGCCACCGGGCCCTCTGACCACCATCAGTAGACAATGCAGGTCAAGTGTCTTGCCCAAGGACGCAACGACAATGAAAGTCGGATTCGGGCTTGAACTGTCAATCCTTCGATATTAGGGCAAACGCCTACATCCAACGCCAAGATTGCATGAGATTCTACAGAGTTTTATTGTTATAAAACTTGCAGCATAATGTATTTGTTAATGTATGGGGATATATTGGGATAAATCTTATTGTGACATGTGGTAAAACAACCCAATTCCTGCCAATTCATACCTCCTTTAGCCATACTGACTAATTCTCGACATTTGACTTGAACTGCTTAGGTTACCTTTTCACATCAACAGTAACGGTCAACATTGCTCCAAGACATAAGACAATATAAAATCTGGTTCACCGAGGTGGTCATGAAAACGTAACGTAATTTACGTAAACGTAAAATAAAAAAAAAAAGAGGAAAGCTTCTTGCTATGATCTATTGAGACATGTCTGTGATGCCAGAAAGGCTGGACATATACAGGAAAGCTTATACTTAGACAGACTTTATTGTCATTTTGTACACAGAGTGTATACAAAAAGAAATTCAATTCAGTACAGCTCTCAAGACATTTACCTTTTTAAAGTGCAGCAGTGATATAATGTAAACATAAGACTGTTCCAGTCTGAAGTGCTGCAGCCTCCACACCACACAGTGACAGAGCTGGTCAGAACGCACTCTATGGTGCTGCTGTAGAAGGTTGTGACCTAAATAAAACCTCCTTTTATCATAGTTATAGTTAGAAATACTTTTATTGTACTCTTTATTAGATCCAGGCTAGATTCAGATAAAGGTTTTCAAGTCCCAAAGCATGGATCGTTGTCCCATGTCTTCACTAGGACTGGGTAAAAAAAAAAAATCGATTTATTCGATTTTGAATCGAATCCTTTAATTTTTTGCAAAATCGATGCCTAGGGAAAGAGATCGATTCCTTTTATAGTGACCCACGTGACGTTCACATCCAAATAAGCCGGAAAGAAGCTCTCAAGATGACTTCAAGCCATATGGCTGCAGATATACCTAATAGGTTGACTGAAGACATTAACAAATGGAGGCTGAGCAGAAAACACCCTGTAGTTTTTACAGACAACGCTGCAAATATGGTTTGAGCAGTGAAGATAATGTCTGCCCTTTTCACGTCTGCTTGCTCGTGTAAGGCTTCACTTTTTCACTTTTCACAAACAAGTTTGCACTTTTAAGACAGTTTTGTTCACATCTCTGTTTAAGCTATCTGATTTACAAGTTTGCACTTTGTGTTTAATGTGATAGGATAAAATAAAATACATGAGTATTTTGTTGAACACAGTTGAACCACTTTCATTATTGTAAAAACAGATCGAATCGAAATTAATTGATTTAGAACTGGACGAATCAAAATCGAGTCGATTCAGGACTTTGGCGAAAATACCCAGCCGTAGTCTTCACCCTCTCTCTCTCCTGACTTAATGTCGTTACAAAATAAAAATTAATACTATGAGTGGCAAAATAGAGAATTGATGACTTTAACAGGAATGGTTTTGAATAGAAAGTAGTTAGGCATCCCTCAAAAGATAACTTTTGGGACACAGATGATTTCTATTGGTCTGTGTTGATGTTTGCAACATTTTTATCTGGAAAAAAAGAAATAAAAAAATATATCAATGTGCAATTTTATGATGAAAGCCCTAAAACGAAAAGGTGACGACGTATTTGAACAAAGACATGGCTGAGCAAACGTGGCTAATATGGTCTCTCAATTTAACATAAAGAACTCTATTTCCTCCACACCCCCGCCATGCTACTGTGTTTTCATCTGAGAGGAAGAAGAAGAATCCTTGTTTGCCCACTCAGCGATTTGCCCACGACCGCCTTACGATGGCCGACTGAATTTCAAACATGTTCGATTTTCTCCCGACCTCACGATTCCTGATCGGGAGGTGGTCGTTAGAGGCTAACCACCCCTCCGTACCCCCTGTATACTACAAGATGCGTGTTAGAAATATTTTATTTATACTCTGTGTTTCATGGGTTGTGTTCTAATGAACCATTATGATGTATAATGTGTGATTCATCTTTTATTAACTCTTGCTTAAGATTGTTACAGATAAAGGTCATGCAACAGACGGGTTGTGAAGGAGGCCTGAACATCCTCTATCACATGTTTCTTCTAAACGTCTCTTCTTGGAACAATTCAATTGTAAAACAACCACATGCTTTGTTTTAATATATGTGCTGATGTTTGAAGTAAGATCCTTTTATTTCCCTTTCCCTTTAGTTAAACCTCAGCTGATGTAATTAGGGACATCCCCTTTTCTTCAATAAATGGCGAGCAGAAAGCTGAAGACTGCAGAGTGGGTTGGAGATTTGTAAACTCCGCAGTCTCCTTCCTACTCTCCTCGCGAGTAACTAAATTAATATGTCTCTGTGCCTTCTTTCTATCCCTGTATGTATGTATGATGTTTTAGGTGCTTAAACCTGATCAGGCTGAAAGTCAGCCTGATCAAAAAATTCTCGCACACCTGAAAAATTGACATGAAATGTGCAAAAAAGCCCAGCTTAATAGAAATAAATAAAATAAAATATGAAACAAAATTAAAATCCAAAAAAAACTTTTAGATTAAGAACTTTTTCAAAGTTTCGTTTCATTTGCAGAAGGTGTTCTTTGCTTGCAACAATAACGGAACACATTTCACTCCATATATTGAATGCTTTCTCATTACTCAGCAAACCGAGCAGGACGGAGGCGTAAAACGCCTCGTCAAAAAGTCCACTGATTTTCACAAGTGTGACAAGCTGTCCTATTATCCATGGGTCTCTGGTCCCACACAGCAAAGTCTCTCTGCCCCAGGCTAAGGACAGACTGCCCTCTTTGATATGTACCCAGCATGCTGCTACAGTGCATGCTGGGGAACCGCAGGGGACTTTTCATGCCACCCCCCTCCACTTCCTTTAACAATCAGCCGGTGAAGCGTGAAAGCTGCCAAAAAGCACCGCCGATGTGGATGTTCTCGTAAATAAAATAAAAAAACCTCTTACTTTATCTCACCTCGTTCGCCAATAACATTTCATGGCTTTCCAGAGGGGGGGGTAGAGGCTTTTCCATGTTGCTCTGCCATGCTGACAGCGGTGATACAGAATACGGTTGAACTCAGCGGGGAAACGGTAACCTCAAAGTGAGGTTTTACACAAGTCTTTATTATCTCAATTGACCGTAGAGTTTCCGTCCATCAATCAAAAGCCACAGGTATGGCTATAAAAACAAGAACGAAATACCCGAAGATTGTATCAACAAGGCATCGTTCTATGAAAAGGAGGGGAAGATTACGGAGGTACACTTCAAAGGGTGTAATTGCCAAATTAAAAAAAAAAAAAAAATAGGCTGAGGTTTTAATTTCAGACCATGTGCGTTTGATTGCGGCATCTGGTCCTGCCAAAGTTCAAGCTGCACGCTGAAACAACAAATCAGCATAAAGAGCAACAATCTGGAGGTGTTACTAAAGGCAAACATTCAAGTAATCATTTCCCAATAAATAAAAGGGATTCTTTTCACTCAAAAGAAGGAGAAGAAAAGAAATGGCGCTCAGGCATATCGTTTAACAGCTGGAAGTATTTCTATGCTGGCAGATTATTTATACAGTACCCTACCGCATTACGACTCCATAAAACCGGGGAGATATTCCTCCTCTGTGCGGACAGTTAATTCTAGTTTGACTGTGACTTTGGCTGAACGTGGAGTGGAATAAAAACCACAGGATGTGTGTTTCTCTGGGCGTTTCATGCAAGTATAGAAAGAGGGATGATGGGCAAAGGCCGTACAAGTTGAATAACACTCCAATGTTAATTTAAACTGTCGGACATTAAGGAATGGAATAATAAGGTGTGTGTGAACAGCTGGAGAAGTCGTCAGCAGGGTCGTAATCCTTTTGTCTCTTTTGGCTCTTGGAAGAAAGTCCAGCTTCAATAAATCTGTCTCATTCTACCGAGGAGAGGATGGATGGTACAGTTCATGGGGTATGACTTGGAGCTTTCTTACCTGAACTAAAATAAAATTAGAATCGTAAGTAGTGGATGGAGAAAAGCGCTCAGCATTTAAACTTTGGGATTGTTTTTGGTGAGAGAAGTGTTTATTTTTGACTAGTAAGGGAACAGATGAATAGAAGTCACTTTATTTTGTTTACCAGGCTGGTATTAGGTTGAAAAACCAGATGTCAAAATGCTATATAGATTTCAGATTTCATAAGATTTCAGAAAGTTTCAGAAACACATTTTTGGTCCGAGTTAACACAAAAGCATCACATCATCTGGATATCTGCACATCCTGATCGCAGAGAGCGCCGGATCGCAGTGATCCCATCGTCACTTTTCAGACAAAATCCCAATCAGTTTCAGACTGCGTTGGCAGCCATCTTTAAATCCTTTTAAACTTTAAATCCTGTCTAGCACTCGGCTAAAGGCTGGTTTATGCTCAGAAACCAAGTCGTTGCAGTTAACGCAGCAGACACTCTGCTGCACCTGTCCAAAACTGTAGGTGAGCGCAGACAGTGCTGCAGACACGAGGCCTCTGATTGGTCAATTTTACATCCGCTCTACACTATGTGTATTTCCTGTTGGCTACCTTACCGGCTTGTTTTGTTTGTATGACCGCCATTGTGGAAAACGACTCGTGAAGATGGACCAGCTAGAAGAGAGAGGTGCTCGAGAACGCTGGGACCCTTTTTCCACCTGGATCTCTGCACTTTTTCGCCCTCATGTCC